TTCCCATCAACACTACCCACTGTCACAGTGAGGCAGCTGCCAACCATGCGGGGGATACTCTTTACATGGAGCTTACTGGCTACTGCATGCAAAGAACCATCACCACAGAGGACAGCTCTCAGCCTAGACACACCAAGGGTGACAGCAGGTGTTCTTGGGGACCAGACAGCCAGAGGCAGGAAGCCCACTGGTAAGTCTGTCACCAGTTGGCCAAGTGCACATGATCCTGGTTTTGTCTGCTGAACTGTCACAAAACCCATGCCTTGGTTCCTGCATCTCAGGGGCTGCTGAGTACCCAACACTGGTGCTTTTGCCCATGGAAAAGTGCTTGGCAGACATAAGGGATTCATATCAATGACAGGATGAGCAAGACCTGCCCTCCACCCAGCTCACTCACTCTGTTTCCAAGCAGCCAGAGCTGTGTTTACAGCAGCAAAGAGGTGGCCCACTCATCAGAGGGGCCCCAAGCCCTGCAGACACTTGGCACTGGTATGGCAGTTATGTTTATGCTGTCTCCCTTCACATGATTCCGAGACAGAAACAGAATACCCAGCATACCCGCTCCTCTGGAGAGGCCAAGAAGGAAGGAGGGTAAAGGGGTAGGGAGGCTGACCTGCAGAATCACAAATGCAACCTCCTTGTACCTCAACCAGCTCTAGTGGGTGCCCAGTGAGCCAGCCTCACCCATCTGGATGCCCCAACCAGTCCTGAAGACCTGAGTTACCTAAAAGCAAATCTCACAGCCCTAGTAAACAGGACACTAGCTCTGGAAGAGTTTAAATAATCAAAGCAGAACTCCTAGCCCTAGAATGGTTTCCCAAGGCAGATGGACAAAGACTGAGGCCCCTATGGTCCAGGGCATCATCCTAGGACAGGAAAGCCTGCTAAATTCCAACATATGGCCCTTGACTCTGTGGCCTAGAAGAACTGAGGAAGAGGGAGCAGCAGGAGCCAAGCCCTTCTTAAGACCAACAATAGGGCAGAGAGAACCCAGCCACTGACACAACAAGCAAGGCAATTTGGAGCAGCTCTGCCCTGCACAGGGCTCTGCCAGACCACCCACATCCTCAGCACTTGGACCTGCCAGGATCTCTGGATAGGGAGGTGATGAGTAAGCCTGGCTGAGGAGCCTGGCATACTGCAGACCAAGGCACCAGTCAGGAGCCACAGCCCAGATGGCCCAGCAGCTCTGCATGCCAAGCCCACAGCCTGAGTGGGAACTCAGGCTCCATGGAAACCACTCCCCAAGGGGCGATGAAGTTTCCAGCACTTAGGGACACTTCAACTGTCCTGGCACAAGCACAGAGCTTGTACTGTGGGAAGAGGCTGTGCGAGCCACAAAGCTCCCCAGATGAACGTTCCTAGGAGGACAACACAGCGGCCCTAGAGGGGACAGAGGTTTCTCCATTCTCTGCAGATCCCAGAGGTTCATGTGGAGGCTCTGGGGACAGGGAGGGGCTGGTGCAGTACTTTTCCATGAGCTCCTGATAACACGGAATGCTGCTCTCCAGGCCTTGCAACTCACCCTTCTTGAATGCTTAGGTTCAGCTTTCCATATTTTTTTCCTTGAAAAATATGCGTGATGGCCTCCTTTCAATAATTTCCCATGAGAACCAGAACAGTGAGTGAAGAGCTGCGTGGAGAGCAGAGACCAGCATGTGTTTTTAAGGACAGAGTCCCCACTTTGCTAAGAGGCTGGCTCCCAAAAATACAAGAAGGGGCCTTAGGACGCAAGCTCCCAAGCCAAAGAGCTAAGTCACAAAGACCACACTGAAAAGCTGCCTGCCAGCCTGGGAAGTAACTGGGCTCCAACACTATCTCCAAAAGGAGTGTGGCTGGTGACCCCTGCTGGTTGGCCAGGCTCACGCCATGCCAGGTCGCCCCCTACAGGCCTGGAGCAACCAGGCCTCTTCTCCCAGCAACCTCCTCCCAGAGCCACAGGACATCCTGCTGCTCATGGTGACCCTGAGGTCAACCCTCAATAGTTGTGCAGGAAAATTCAATAAAGCACATGATTTTACCAGTAACTCCATGCTGTAAACCAAACCAAGATCTAGCTTCCAAAGAACAGCTTTCAGGGGAAAACACACGCAAGATAGTTTCTTCTTTCAGCTTGTTTTCCATATTTCTGTAATCAACATGTTTTGTTTTGTTTTTTGAGACAGGGTATCACTATGTAGTTGAGACTGACCTGGAGCTCACTATGTAGCCCAGGCTGGTCTCGAACTCACAGCAATCCTCCTGCCTCAGCCTTCCAAGTGCTGGGATTACAGGCATGTGCCACCATGCCCAGCCAACATGTATTTTAATAATGAAAAATAATCACATACTTTAATAATAATTTTCTGAACTTAAAAAATAAATCCACCATTTCCTAGCTCAGGCAGGAATTTTAACCTTGATCCATTTCTACTATAAACTCCAACTTCTGCTGTTTTGTGTGTCCTACCAGAGGCCAGTGGCCTGCAGAGATCATGCTAGAGGGCTCACTAAGAAAGGAAAGCTACAAGTTTTACTTACAACATGGAAACCTCCAAGGTGACAGAATGGAGCTCATGCCCAAGAAAATGGAGGAGCCTCAAAAAGCAGCAAAGTGCCATCAGGAAGGGGAGAAGCTCTGCATGGGGCAGCTGAACCACCACAAGACTCCAGGAGCTCCTGGAAACCCTTTATATCTGGAATCTGCAAGCTATAAAAAAACCAAAGCAAGACATGGTGACACAGGCCTATAATCCCCAGCACTCTGGGAGGATGGGACAGGAGGATCACAAGTTTGAGCCCAGATAACACAACTCAGTGAGATCCTGTCTCAACATTTAAAAAATAAATAAAAAGGGCTGGGGATGTAGTTCAGTGCAAATTCCCCAAGTAATGCAAGAACAAAATAACAAACACACACACAGCTGGATATAGTGCTACATGCCTGTAATACTAGCTACTCAGGAGGCAAAGGCAAAAAGATGGCAAGTTCCAGCCAAGCCTGTGCAACTTAGTGAGACCCTGTCTTAAAATAAGAACCAACCCATGTGGCTTCAGCAAGAGGCAGTTAGCCCAGGGAAACAGGAATTTAATGGCTTGGTAAATAAGAGACTGACATGAAGGAAGATGCAGGTAAAATGCTTTCCTGTTCCCTTAGACCTGTGCAAGCTGCCTGTACAAAGCCAATGAACAGAGGCCAAGGAAGGAATCCTGGGCTCTGTTCAACTTTCTCTGCTCTCTCAGGTGGTCCAGGGATGCGACAGATGGTTTCTTGAGACATGGCTGTGCCTTGCTTTTGGCATACACTCTGCACCTCTCCCATCTGTCCCAGCCCCTGACTCCCCCATCTGCTGCCTGACACAGACCTGCATGTTACTTTACACCACCTCCCAAAAGCTCCAAGTTGCCTAACTGGACAGAGTCCTAGACCAGCCTAGGCACAAATCTCCTGAGAACATCAAGGCTTCCCAAGGCTTTCCAAGTTAGAGGTCAAGGAGCATCTTCAAGCTGATGGTCAGACACTGCCAAAGTCTTCTGAACAAAGCCTAGCCAGGTCCAGTCAAGGAGCCAGGCCCTCACATAGGGAGGGAACCTTTTCTTTTATGAAAGAAATGATATCTGCCACCCTATCGTACTACAGTGTACCCCTTCCATCCCCAGGTACAAGGACGCCTGGAGCACCACATGAATGCAAGCTATATCACAAAGGGAAAAAATTTGTATGCCAATCAGAGCTTTCCAAATCTTCCTTCCAAAAAAACTGAAGAGGTGCATAATTAAGTTAACACTTAACAGTAGATTTTTAAAATATATTTTGTGGGGCTGGGGGTATAGCTCAGAGGTACAGTATAAGCTTAGCATGCACAGAACCCTGGGTTTAGCCTGCAACACACACAAACACACACACACATGCACACATGCACATGTATTTTTAAAAATATATGCCAAAAATAATGGTCTCAGAATTCAAAGAATTAAGCAACATTGCTAGGATAAAACTTCTATCCCCATTTGCTCATTTATGTGAACAAGATTACTGAGCACTTAAATCCAGAAATGAAAAACAGGAAGAGAACCAGCGTGAAGCCCAGTCTCACTTGAATACTCAGTCAGTCCATCACTTGCACTTGAATTAACAGCACAAACACGAAGAGTTCTGCCAAGTGTGATGAGAGGCATGGCTAGTGTGATATAATTTATGTTGACTAATTTGACAAAATTGATAATATACTGTTTTGATCACTAAACAGTACTAATTAAAATGAGAGCTCATGGGGCTGGGGACTTAGCCCAATGGTTCTGTCACCTGCCTCGCAAGTGCAAAGACCAGAGTTTGATCCCCGGTACCAAAAAAAAAAAAAGAGTTCAATACAGAAGTAAAATTTCAACACTCAATTTGGTGGGTTCAAACTTAAATATACATATTATTGTGGAAGATGAACAATACAGGATAGAGAACAGAAATATGCAACCTCAGGAAGAGGGTGCACAGGTTCTATCTTGGTGAGAATGAAAATCATGTTTACAATCCATTGGGTATAGTTCTAAGAGTGATGTTACTATGGATTTTCAAATGCTCAGCATGTGAATGAACATTTTTATTTTATTTTATTTGATACTGGGGATCAAACTCAGGACCTTGTGCTTGCAAGGCAGGTGGTGACACCACTGAATTAAATCCCCAGATCACACACTTTTAAGATCTAAGTCTTCAGATGGGTCTCCTGCTACTCATGAGCCTCATGGTGAGGAACAGTTTCCCCTTCTGCACGTAATTCCCTTTTCCTGCCAGCACAGCCCACTCTAGGCCTTCACCATCCCAGACACCCTGCCATCCTAGGCCCCCAGTGTGGCCAATCTAGCACCTCACAGTCCCATGTAAAACAGGGCATTACTCAACAGTTTGCAGCTGTGGCGGCTGACGAGATAATTAATAGCACTCCAACCTAAGTCTCACCCAGACTCCCATGTCCTGTGACGGCTTCTGGGGACACTGCACAGCCCCAGGTGTAGGGCCTTACCTCCAGGCTGGCTTCCTCCTCGTCTGGTTTGGCATCAGGTGCCTGCAGTATCTCTTCCACAGACACCTTCTTCAGTTTTTTGCACTTTTTCTTTGTCACTTCAGGAGCTTTTCTCTTCTGTTTTGCCATCCTGCAATGGAGAAAGCACACTGCTAAATCCATAGGAAATAAGAGGTCTTAGGTGAGGACAGTGTTTTTAACAAGGGAGAAGAATGCTCTACAATTATAAGAGGAACACAAAGGTATTTCACAAAGTTTGGAAAATATATAAAAATCAAATTTCTAGTTCATTGCCATTTTAACAATTTGGTGATTTCCTTTCTGTTTTCTGAGTGTTTTTATTTAACATAACTATAATTATTACATAGATTATATATTCTGTATTTCTAACCCAACATAAACCCAAAACTTAAGATTAAAGACATTTTTAGTGACAATATTATGATTTTCCAGAGGTGAAAGTATGCCTATTCTCTAATTCCTATTGCCTACTAAATATTTGGGGTTATTTTCCTTTTCTATGATTCTGGACCCACATTCCTACATAGGCTGTGATGAGTCACATGCCCTATCATGAGCATCTGGCCATGCCTAGGCTGAGGACCTGGGGAGGCTGGGATGTCTCCTCTAGGCCATGGGCAGCACCAGCCAGGCCATTCATAAGGACCAACGCCAGACAAGCAATGTGAGGGATGAGATGCATCTAACTGTGTTTATTTTCTCAAGCACAGTAGTATATATGACTCCTCATACAAAAACAGAAAAGTCCATGAACTATAAAGCCAATTACCTTTGCAGCACTGCATGACAAGGAGCCTGGAGGGACATGGGTGTGGGGGGTGGAGAGTTCTTGACCTGAGGGAGGGATCTCTGGGGATACCAAGCTACTTCCGGGACAAGGAATGGAAACTGGCAGCCAAAACACCTGCCTGCCCTTCTGGAGCTCACATATGTATGGTGTGTGTGTGTGTGTGTGTGTGTGTGTGTGTGTGTGTGTGCATAATATGCCAGAAAGATGAGAATGGCTATGTAAAATAAATAAATAAAGACTGGGTGTGATGGCACTTGCCTGCAATCCCAGTTGCTATGGAGACTGAGGCCTGAGGATCAGGAATTTGAGGCCATCCTGGGCAGCTTAATGAGACCTTGTCTCAGCAATAAACTATTAAAAGGGCTGGGTGTATAGCTCAGAGGTAGAGCCCCAAGGTTCAATCCTCAGTATACAACAACAAACCAACCTAACAACAACAACAACAAAAACCCCATAAGGCAGAATACAGTCGTGGGAAGGTGACCACCTTAAAAGGATGACCAAGCTGGGGATGGAGCTCAATGGTAAAGTGCTTGCCTAGCATGCAGTACACCCTAGGTTTCATTCCTAGCACTGCAAAAAAGAAAAAAAAAAAAAAAAAAAAGGAAACTGAGATGATGATCATATGGAAGGGGTAGTGGACCATCCCTAGAGACCAGATTTGGGGCCCAACACCACTCTTGGTGAGTAAGAGACGGGGGTATAAGGTGAGCTTGGGACATGGAGTGAGTTAGCACTGAGGACTCCCTGTCCCATTTGGGGCTGTCACAGGTTACAGCACGTTGAGAGAATATTCTATTCTGGAATCAGAAAATTCCAAGCTCTGTATTTTTTAATTAGGCCTTATCTTTAAAAAGCATTTGAAGCCAGAGGCTACAAATTTCAATTAGCAGTATAATGAGAAATCTTGAAAGGAGAGACTGTTGACACAGGGGCATAAAAACACAGAGGATGGGCTGGCCAATTACCTTGTCAGGAAAATAAGGAAAGCTCAGCAAATATTTATATACCAGTTACTACAAAAGTTAAATCTTTCTTCACTCTGAGAGTTACCATTAAAAAATCACTAAGCCTATTTGCTAGAGAAAGAAACACTTTTCCATTACAGAGAAATTTCTGTTAATAGTTTTAAAAGAGATAATGACTCACAACTTAGAGACAATGAAATGTCCATTCTAGAAAACAATCTTTACTTTCATTTTTGGTGAAATGACTTTCAACAAAGATGCCCAGACAATCTGAAGAACAGTCTCTTCAACAGTGCGCTGGAGTAACTGGATAGCCACATAGGAAACAATGAATGCAGAGCCCCACTTCACACTGTATACAAAAATTAACTCAGGGCTGGGGATTTAGCTCAGTGACACTGCACCTGCCTTGAAAGCACAAGGTCCTGAGTTCAATCCCCAGCGTGCGCACGCACGCACACACACACACACACACACACACACACACACGAGAGAGAGAGAGAGAGAGAGAGAGAGAGAGAGAGAGAGAGACAGAGAGAGACAGAGAGACAGAGAGACAGACAGACAGAGAGAAAGGGGGGCACAAAAATTAACTCTCAATGGATCAGAAACATGGATGTAAGAGCTAAAAACAGGCATTGAAAGAAAAAAATAAATTGGACTACAGCAAAACTGAAAACTTATACTTCAAACAATGCCAGCATGAAAGGAAACTGACACCATACAGTATCAGAGAAAGTATGTCCAAATCACATATCTGACAAAAGAGACTTGTGTGTATCTAGAATATATGAGGAACTCTTACCAGAAACATGGATGTAAGAGCTAAAAACAGGCATTGAAAGAAAAAAATAAATTGGACTACAGCAAAACTGAAAACTTATACTTCAAACAATGCCAGCATGAAAGGAAACTGACACCATACAGTATCAGAGAAAGTATGTCCAAATCACATATCTGACAAAAGAGACTTGTGTGTATCTAGAATATATGAGGAACTCTTACAATTCAACAATAAAAGACAACTCAATTTCAGAACGAGCAAAGGCTTTCAACACATACTGAAGTACACAAAAAGATGTTCAACTTCATTAGTTATCTAGGAAATGCAAATCAAAAAGGATACCACTTCACACTCACTGGGATGGCTTGAATAACAGACAGGCGAGTTGAGCTGGGGATGTAGCTCAGTATACAAAGCTGTGGAGTGGATCCCCAGTACAATAAGAAAGGGGAAAAAAAAAAAAAAGACAGCTACATATGGAGATAAAAAACATGTAATCCCAGTACTCAGGATGCTTAGGCAGGAGGACTGGGAGTCCAAGGTCAACCTGGGATACAAAGTAAGACCCTGTCCAAAAACAAACAAACCAGACAGAGAACAGTAATTTTTGTTTTGTTTTTTGTTTTTTGAGACAAGGTCTCACTATATATGTAGTTCAAGCTGGCCTTGGACTCACTATGTAGTTCAGGCTGGCCTCAAACTCATAGCAATCTTCCTGCCTTGGCCCCCCTAGTGCTAGTATTACAGGCATGTGCCACCACACCCAGCTAGATAATAGTAAATATTGACAAGAATGGAGAAACTGAAATCTTCCATAACTATTGGTCTAAATGACTCACCACGGTGGAAAACATTCTGGTATTTCCTCAAAAAATTTAAAATTTAGTTACCTTGTACCTAGGCAATTTCACCTCTTAGTACATACTCAGAAAAAATGAACATGTCCACATATAAATGTGTACACTAGTGTTCACAGGGTATCATTACAGGATATTATTACTCATAATATCCTAAAGGTGGAAAAAACTTAAATGCCCACCAAAAAAATAATTATTTATTATATTATTTATAATTCCACCTACATGAAGAATTCAGAATAATTACAGCAAAGAGTCAGAAATGCAGCTAGTAGTATTTTAGGGTGAGGGCAACGGGGGGGGGAAGAAACAGAGTAACTGTTAATGGGTACAGGATGTATTTTGGGAGGAAGAAAATGTTCTAAAATTAGATGGTGGTGATAGATGCAGAACTCCATAAATTTAGTTTTTGAAAAAAAGCTAAAGTCTATTTTGTTACCACAAATTTAAAAATATAATGCTCTAGTGCTGTTTAAAAAATAATGGGGGAAAATATGTGTGCAAAGATGCTTGTTGTAGAAAGCCATATTTCTGCCATCAAAATAGGACATCATGTTTACAGCTGAGGTGGAGCTTCACAACTGTGCCAGTTGCACGGGCAGCCTGGCACTACTGTCACCTGGCACCACTGTCAGAACGCTCTAGGTCCTTGACTGTGGCATTTCCTCACAGGCCTTTCTGCAGATATCCAGTGACGCAGATTAACTGCTATAAGGCAATGCAAATCTAAATTTTTCCCTCCATTTGGTGGTTAGGAGGAAGATGATCCTGAGAGGTTTGGGGATGTTTCGATAGCTACTCGTCATTTCTACCAACAATGAAATCACTACTGGATGTCATACACACAGAGCCCTGACCAAGACCAGGCCCTGTCCATGTGCTTTACATACCCTAAGCTATTCATCTTTGTGACCCTGAAGCAGGCACACAGATAAAGGAAACCAAGGCACTATAGGGAAGGGAATGTTACCACAAATCCCTGCAGTGGGTCCTGGTCTCAGGTAAGCCAGTACAATCAATGTCTATGAGATAGAAAAGTGGGAAATAAAGACACAGAGACAGAGACTTGAGAGAAACTGAGTCTTGGGCTGATCTAAGCTGCTCTGAGCAACAGGATATCTAGTGTTTATTTATTACAAGTATGGGAAGCCGGAAAGCTGGGCAGGCCTTCAGACACCTGCTGATAATAAGTATCAAGCAGGCAGGCTGCAGAATGTGGGCACAAGCATATCTTCGCTGAAGAGAACAAAAGGTTAACTCAGAAAGGAGGAATTTACTTGGAGCCTAGTTGACCTTGGCTGGAAATGAACTTAGCTGACTGGACTACTTTTAAAGTAACAGCTGAAATATGGAGGCACAAGAAGCTTGTGTCATTATAGCCTGCTATTACTGGGCAGAGAGGTGTCTGCTACAAGGCACAATGTAGGGAACCAACAGATGACTTCTAAAATCAGTAAAGAATCACACATTACATATTAGTATGTTATTTAGAAACACAGAAGTAATTCCAACAGAAACAGCCACATGGGTTACACTGTACTTACCTCTTCAGGAGTGTGGGGGTTGTCTGCAAGTCACCTAGCAAGGCAGGTTTTTTAGCCATATGCAAACAATGACTTTGCTAATTAGACACATCAAAAAATGTCAGTTTTAGCTGGGCATAGTGGTACATACTAGTAATCCCAGAATTCTGGGAGGCTGACAAGTTCAAGACCAGCTTGGGCAACTCATGGACTCAGCGAGACCCTGTCTCAAAATTTTAAAAAAAGGATGGGGGATGGCTGGAGATGTGGCTCAGGGCTAAGACCATGAATTCAATCCCCAGTACTGCCAAAAAAAAGGTCAATTTTTACATAAAAATTACATTGTATAGTACTAGCCACTATATTGTATAAAATGGTGAAAAGGACATTATCATACACTGCTAATAGGAGAGCAAACTGCTATGGTCTTTCTAAAAGGTAATTTCACAATATTTATCAAGTACTTTGGCCCAGTAATTCCACTTCTAGGAACTCACCTTAATAAAATAATAATGGACACAGATTCATGTATATACAAGGATGGTAGTAGCAACACTATCTCTAATACTAAAAAAATTGAAAAACAATAATTGTCCAACAGTAGTATGCTGGTTAAATGAATGACTCTTGCACAAAGCAACACACTCACAAAACCATTAGCAACTGTGATCTCAAGGAACATTTAATCATGTGAGTAAATGCATACGACATCATAAAATGCAATGTTGGGTTTAAATCTATGGAAATGCAGTATAACGCTCATTTTGTAACAAAAATTATAAACAAATATGCACAAAGGAATACTAGAAGAAAATACATCAAATTATTAACATTTTATAAGGTACGATTATATGAATGCTTGTTTTCTTACCCCTTTCCATAATTTTTATAATAAAAGCAGGAAAAAAATTAAGAAATAGCTCAGTTATATCTTCAGTGAAGCAAACAAACAATTCCACCAGTAGGAAGCAGACAGCCTGTGTGAGACAAGCCCAAGGAAGACCGGAGCTAAGGAGCCCAGCTTCCGCCATGGCTCAGGTCAAGTTAGTAAAACTAGGCGAAGCTGCAAATCTGCAGGGCTGGAAAACATCTCCACAAGGCCTTGAAAAGATAAGTCAGCCTACAGGAAAACACACCAAACACATGCTCTTTAAACCTAAAAACATCCGCACAGTGCCAGTTGCCTCCTGTCACTCAGGTCATCTGCATTACCTCTGCTATGGTCTGGGCAGGTCCTGCAGGGGCATGTCCCACACCACCAGGCAAAGGCTTCCTGAAGGTGAATCCGGGCCCTGCTACCTGAAGACCTCTAAGAGCTTGGTGGACAGAGCAGAGTTGTGACTCCCACACCTGGCCTGTGGCTCTCCTCCAGCCCTAGGCCATACTCTGAACTGCCCATCTAGGTTAGTGACCTCCTAGACAATCTGCTTCACCTTCTCCCTCCCAAGACCTACCTGAATGTGTCACCACAGTCACTCTGCACCCACCATTATCCTAATGCCAAGTATCCATTGCCAATTCCACCTCCTATGTCTTCAGCTGGCCTCTCAGACATTCTGGAATCCAGTACTCTTTCAGTCTCACTAAGATCTGCAGTCTACAGACTCTGCTGCAATTCAATGTCCCTAGTCCCTCCCTCTCACAATTTAATTTCCACAGTCAACTGTTATAATCACTCCCTTATACATGTTTTCTCAACTCCTTTGTGCCTCTTTCCCTTACTTGCCTGCAAAACCCTACCTCCAGTACCTACGCTTGCAGTGTGTCTATGCCGAGCCTAGAGCTTCCAGTGGCCAGAAAACCCATGGTACCAGACTGACAGGCCTGCATTCTAAATTTAGAACCTCTAACCTTAAGGGAATCTTCAGAGCAGCACAGCAATTGTACCACCTCTCCCCACTCCAGCCACTCTCCCAGTCTCATTCCTTCACCTCTCCTGACCCTCACACCTCCAATATCTCTGTTCTCAGTAGATAACTTTCGTTACTGACCACTGAGAGCACAGAAGCAATGAGGAGAATTTCCACAAACTCTTATCTAACCAGCACTGTGTGTGCTCCTATCCAGTCCAGGACCTTCACCTGTGCTGCAGGCCCCACCCTTCATCCCCTGACTGCACCACCAGAAGCACTCCTCTCTCCTGCTTCCTTAGCTCTTCCCTTCTCTTAAATCAAGCACAACCTCCTATATATAACCACTCTCTTGACTCCTTCAATGCACACCTCATTTCTCAGGAACTTTTTTCCTCTTCTCTCTCACACTCTGTTCCAGCTGATCTACCACAATGACACCTATGTAGCTAAGACCCAATGCTGATTTTCAGTACAAAACTTATCTGACGCAACAGTAGCATATGATAGCTGCTCCATCATCCCTCCTGACTTGCATTTTTTTACTTGTCCAGCACAGACAGCACACTCTCCTGGTTTCTAATAGCTTTAGGGCGCTGATCTTGAAGCTGGAAGGTCCCAGGGTCGATGCTTAGCTACTTCACTCCCTCTGTGCCCCCATAGACATGTAGCTTTATATTTTTTCCTCCTCTTCCAGATTTAGGTATAACTGATAAATAAAAATTGTATAAATTCAAGGTATACAATGTGATGATTTGATATACATGTACAATGTAAATCCAGTTCAACAATCAAGAGAATTAACACAATCATCACCACACAGTTGCCATTTGTGTATGTGTGGAGGATGTATGAGGATATTAGACTTCAAATACCACCTAGAGGCTGATGGCCTCCACCTTTGTGCATTTGAGGGTTCTTCTCAATCCCTCCCTGAACAATTACCCATATGTACAGCTATATAGCTATATGTCTCACATATGCACATATCATCTCAGACTTCACTCATCCTCCACAAATCTTATCTTCCATGATGTTTGCCTCTCAATAAATAGCCACCTGATAATATCCAGACTTTAGTTCAAGCCAAACCTTGGGGCCATTCACAACTTCTTTTGATTTATCACATAGCCATCCAACTGCCACAAATCCCTGGTGGCTCTATCTTGGAATGCATCCAGCATCTATCTATTACAGCCTCTTCTGTTAGCATCTTGGTCCAGAACCGCATCTCACAACCAAATCACTCAAGACCTGTGACTGATTACTCACTTCTGTTCTGAACCTTTCAGCTGATGTCCAACGCAGCTCGCAGAGTAATTTTAAAACATCCAAGTCAAATCACGCTTCCCCTCTGCTTGAAAACTCCCAAAGATTTCCCTTTCCACTTGGGGAAGTCAAAGTCCTAGCCCCACCTCCGACCTCCATCTCTAGGCCTTCGCCTCCTCTCCTCTTTTCTTCATTTACTCCCAGGCACACTGGGTTCCTTGCTGTTCCCCCGTATCTAATGCCTCTCTACACGGATGTTGTAGCTACCAAGGGATCTCCCTCTCTCACCGGCTTCGCCTTTCCACACTCCATCCCTGTCCTGATTTTTCTCCATGGCACTTATCACCTGCTGTGTGGTCTTATTCATTTGTCTGTCTTCTTTAGAATGCAAGCTCGCTAGATCTGAGGTGTGTTTCTTGTTTATTACTAGTAGAACAACGCCTTACCGTACAAAGCGAGCGCGGAAAAGCCTCAGCAGGTAACGAGGGCTCCGAGTCCTAAGCCACAACTACAGAGAATGAAAGAGGCCACAGCTTGGGAGAGGATGCTGGCCCCCTGGAACCCAGGTCTCACCTTCCGCGCACAGGCGGGTCAGGTACTGACGGAGCGGCCCCTCGTCTTCCTGGGGCCTCCTGAGCGCCACAGAAAACTCACCGCACACCCACGTGGAGCGGCCACAGTTACCGGCAAGCGCAGCGCCGCCTAAACTCGCAGGGTCCTCAACAGTCCCCACCTACTCCAGCCCGGCATTGGCCGCAGCCCACGCGCTCACCTGCATCCACCTGCGCGAGCCTAGCTGCACAGCCCAGACTGGCTTCCGGCAAGCCCCGTGCCGCAGGTACGCGCCAGTCCCGCCTTCTGACAAACTGTGTCTTCCATTGGGCAAAACCTGCCTCACGTTTTCCTGTTAACTAATGGCAAGCGGCTGGGGCACGGAGGCGTTGTCCAGGCTGGGCGCGAGGTGATGGCGTCATCAATGGAGACGTAGGTTACTGGGAGAGCCGCTGGTTGCCAAAGCAACTGGCCCTTAGGCAGAAGCGGGCAGGCAGGCTTCAGAGAAACTCCACCCAGGGTATGGGAGGTGGGCGCTCGCTATTGGCGTCCTGCTCTTGCTGAACTTTAAAAATCCAGTGTACAGAAGAACTGGTGATAAAAAACAGAAACAGAGAGTGGAGATTGTTACAGTTGCGCTTGTCACCATTTAAAACTTCAACAGTGTTAGGAGCGTTCATGTACAAAAGACGGTGAAGATGTGTCTGCAAGGGCAGCAGCTAAGAGGAGAGGTCGCCTGGAGGTCGGGGCAGACAGTGGGGTAACCCGGCGCCATCAACGGTGAGGTCAGCACGGATGCAAAGACCAATTTTCTGTTTAATCTTTCGATTTTTAAGAATAATAATGCAGTCAGGTGTGGTGGCACACGCCTGTAATCATAGCTACTCGAGAGTTTTAGCCAATAGGATTGCAAGTTCGAGCCCAGTAGGGGCAAGATAGTGAGACTCTGTTTCAAAATAATTTTAATTATATTTTTAAAATAGTAAATTAGAAGGGCTAGGATTGTAATAGAGCACTTACTTGTTTGCCACGTGTGAGGTCCCTAGCATTAGAAAAAAAATAATAGATCTGGGCTTGTTATCCTATGGGATACCAGATTAAAAAAAGAAAGAAAGAAAAGAAAGAGAAAAAGAAAGTCTGGTTTATGACATGAGAGTGGTACTTTAGTAGTAAAATATTATGAAGTCAACAATCAAAGGAAAAAAGTAGCTGAGGAATGTTAGCCTGACATTGAGGACTGTTTTCATTCAGAGATCAGTGAGTTCTGGAAGAGGTAGCTGAGAAGTTGAAATTATGAACAGGTATTCTGACAGGTCTATGGTTCCAGAGACTACAGACTGTTATCCCATCTTTGGGTTGGGATTGGGAAAAGCTGCAGGGGGGAGGGTGGTTGAAAGCAGTAGTAGACTAGCCCTTAGGGGACTTCATGAGATTCATTTGAGCTTCTGAAAGTGCATTTCTGTAAGTCAGGATTAATTACTGGTACCGCTACATAGGTGAGAGAAGAAAATGCAAAATTTAGAATGTGATATTACTTGCCTCAAATTATAATTGCTTATAGATTACATCTAGCATCCTATAGAATTAGCTGTGTACCTAAAAAGACAACACATTTTTTTCTTTTTTCATTCTTTTTTGAGACAAAAATCTTGCTGTGTACTCCAGGCTGGCCTTGAACTCGAGATTGTCTTGCCTTGATCTAATGAGGGCTGGGATTACAGGTATACACCACCACACCTGGTTAAAGCAACAGTGTCAAAAGTCAGGAGAAACAATATATTGTTTTCATTACACAGTGGATTGGTAACCTACCCACTCGTATTGAAAATTGTGATTTCATGGGTCTTTATGAGGTCCAATGGTCAGGGTCTCAGCCTCTTCATGACCCTCCTTTCATGACATGTGATCCCACACAGCAAAAGGCCTGCTTCACCCAGAACCTGGGGCCTCTTGGTGTCTGCCATGTAAACATGACATGTTGGGTCTTCCAACTGCAGGACAGCCTGCATTATAGGCCCAGTGTACTGCAGAGCCTTGTTTTGCTGTGCACCCAACTCAGAACTCAAAATCAGCTAGGTCTGGTGGTGCATACCTGTAATCTCAGCTAGCCAGACAGGAGAATGTCGAGGCCAGCTGGAGCAACTCTGAAAGATCTTTCTCAAAGTGAAAAACAAAGAAGAGCTGGAGATGTAGCTCAGCACTTCCTGGGTTCAATCTCCAGTACTGCAATCAATCAGACATCCAAGCTACCCAACGAATTGGTGGTGGCCATATGAAAAATGACATAAGTGACCTCCAGAATCCAAGGACATTACCCGAGAGAAGCAGCACTCCCACTTAATGGTAGAAGATTGTACTTGTGTTCCATTTCTGCATCCCAAATGAACCCAAAATTTAGCAACCCAGAACATTTACTTTCTCCCATTTCTTGGGTTGGGACTGTGGGCAAAGCTTGGTTCTGTGCCTTTGCCATCAGGTCTGGCACATGCCAAGGCATAGCCAGAATGTCTGCCAGAGCTATGGTAACATCTGAAGGCTTGTCAGGGACCATGCACTCCCAAGCTCACTCTTTCAAGTACTGGAAGGATTCATTTATCTAAGGGCCCTGGACCAGGTCCCCCACAGCCAGGTTACCAGGGGCCTATCCACAGGGCAGCTTAGGACATGGTACATGGCTTCCCTGCGAGTGAGCAAGAAAGGGCACACACAAGACACAAGTATAGCCTATTTTCAACCTTATCTCACAAATGACTTCCCATCATTTCTGCTGTATCCTTTTCACAAGGTCAGCTCACCCAGGATGAGGGGTCATCAGGAAGAGAAAGTGTGAATAAGGCCATGTGAGAGCCTGCCTGTCTCCAGGGGGCAGCATCCAAAAACACGGGCCCCAGGCTGAAAACATGGCCCTGGAATAAGGAGGATGTTCTATCATGCTTAGACCACTAGACACAAAAGGCTTCATTCATGTGTCTGAACACTGAAGCTCAGGGTTTCTCATCTTCCTGCCTGACACACATACGTCCTGTCAGGCCACCCAGAGTGCTTGCCACCTGCTCTGAACCAGGTCTGATTAGCATGGCGTCACCAATATGGCCAGCCCTGGAATGGCAAGACCACTGATGTCCCTTTAGACGCTGCTCATTTAGACACCATCCACTTACGGGCTATAACAGCAAATAGGAGTTAACAATAGATAAGGTAATGAATGTGACCCACTGTCCTACCCTTGTGAATATACATGGCTTTAAATTCTCTTTCTTGATCAGCAGTCACATGCCAGGTGCCAAAGACTGTGCCAATCTATCTAAACAGAAAGCATGGGCACCAAGGCCATATTTAGTGGCTGCCAATCAGCTGCACGATCCATACAGGGCCACATATCCTTCCTATATCAGAAGGAGCTGGTCCCCATAGTACCATCCACGTGAGGTACTGCCTGTTCCACGGGTCACAGACCCAACAGCCAGGTCTGTCAGCTCTGAAGTATCCCCACCCCAATCTGTACCTAGGGAGGGATTAGTGCCATAGAATGAGCCTGTGGCTCCACCTGGCACACTGTGGGATAAATCTGGGCCAGGACTCTGCCATCAAGTGCAGTCTGATGGGAGCCAGGACCCACACACTGTCTCTAACAGCTGGTCCTGGCTCTGGGACTGCCTTTCTGCAGTGTGTGGTCTGTGAAGAGGACTCAGTGCTATTTATTAATATATTTGCCATGGCCTTGCAAGATCCTGCCTCAAGGGGTTGCAGAATCCATTTCAGTGAATGGATTCTATGCCTAAGAATCAGTTTAATGTGCAAACTCTCCAGGGACAGTAATCTGACAACAGCCTTCTGTGCACTAGCTCTTGATCTGTTTCAGTTATACAAACCAAGCTAAACCCTTGTTCACTGTGCGTCTCATACCTGGAATACCAATCTAGTGGCCCCTGCCACAGTTCCTGCAGTACTTTTCCTATGGCTGTCACTCTGGCCTTGCTGGCTGTTACAGTATGATTTGGTACATCTCTGATTGGAAGTTGCAGGATTGCCTGTGCTGTTCCAAACTCTAATGTACCTGATGGACACAAGGGAGCTCAACTCTTCTAACATGAGCCCTGGCCTGCAGGGGACAGTGCTGCTGGTCTTGTCAGCCATGCTGTGTCCCCCTTACTACCAGTCCACTACTCTGCCTTGCTTGAGGGAAAGGTAGGCTTTGGGCTCTCGGAAACTCAGTTGTGGGTACTTTGACAACTCTGCTGTCACAGGTACTACTCCACATGCCTCCTGCCCCCTGTGCATGCTATCAAAGCAATGCTGGGAGCCTACCTTATCTGCTGAAGGGCATCCCAATGCCCAGTCTCAGAAAGTTATCTTTTTGAGGGAAGATATACAAAAATAAATTTTTTTTGCATTTCTGTTTTTTTGGAATGCTAAAAGTGCCTAGAGGCAAGGATACCCCAGTATCCCTGAATATTCCAGCATGAAAAACAGGTTTTTGAATATCATCCCCCACCAAGAAGAACTGGGGTCCTTGGAGAAATGGTGTAGGGCTGTGGCAGGGAGAAGAAGATGGGCCTGGAGTATCTTGTTAGGCTGGTCAGTAAGGAAAGAAGACAACAACAAAATGAGTGACACAGGATGGGGTTCAAGGACAGTCCCACACACACCTCAAGGTAGAGACAGGGACTGCTATTTGATCCGCCAAGTAGGTTCTTCACTCATGTCACAGATTAAGAATTCTAGGATGTGTCAATGTGAAGTATAGTCAGATTTATTAGGCAGAGTTAGAATGTAAGGCAGAATAGGAAAAGGAATGCACCTTGAACATTAGAATGGGGCTCACTGTGATGCAGGGGTTCAGCCTAGCCACTGCCAAAAAGCACAAGGCCAGATTTGATGTCTTAGTTAAAGGGGTAAGGGATGGGATGATCTTTATCTCAGTTCTGGTTTCATAGCTCCAGAGGAATCCTTATAGTTTAAGGGGCAAGTCTGTTCCCACACAATGACTGTCTTTGCTTAGCAGTGACACTGCCTCAATTTCCACCATGGGGTAATTTCTCCTGCTTTGGGGGAGGTGATACCATACAGTAGCCTGCGAGTCTCTGCTTTTCTGGAATCTGAGGTGATTGTAGGTTTGGAAACTTCCAGCTGTCATACCAGGAGGGTCTGGATGTTGGGAAAGCTAGTAAGTGATGTCCCTGTGTTATAGCTGAATGGGCCAATAATAGTCCAGGTTCTTGTGTACAACAAGGGAAGAATTGCCAAGTGTGTACCCAGTAGGAAGCAGTAAGTAACTGTGTTTATTGAAGATCATAGGAAGTTGTGCCCAAGGCCAGTCTGTGTCAACAAAGGTACAACACAGCCCAAGGAAGGTGCTAGGGTGACAGAAAAGCACTGCATACAGGTCAAAGGTAGCAACTGCAACAGGAAAAAGAGACTGATAACTCTATAGGCTTTCAGAATTGCTTTAGGTGCTTCCCACTGACTCTCATGGTGCCAGTGCTCTTCGCCTAGACTCACAGTGATAAGGAAACTTCTATAGCTTTCAGTGATACAAATAGCCCACTGAGACCTGTGTGCCATAGTTTTGCCACCACTGGTCTAGAACATTGATGATCTCCTAAGGTTTTGTTATTTTATTTTCTACCACACCTAGGACAACAGAAGCAGGAATAACCTTAGGGTGTTGTGGTGCTGTTTTTAGGTTAAATGGAGGAAGGAAGTGATACATTCAGCACACACACACACACACACACACACACACACAAACACACACACATAATGTATGTATGTGTATA